GCTGATTTATCGAATATAACAGCCTACCTATGTCCATTAAATCTGTCAAACGTGACAAAAGCAAATAAAACCTTTTTATTTTTGAGTCTTGGATTAATACAAATTTGATCCATTAGTAAGTAATTTTGGCAGCAGGGTGGTGTATGGCACCAGCTCAAAATAGACTCCTCTGATAATTGAAACAGGGGCATGTGCCCATTAAGTGTTCGCTTCATTTATAGAGCGCTTTGGTAAAGAGGGATTTAAAATACTGCTTCAAGCTACACCGAAAATAATTTGATGAGAATGGTTAGTCGTTTTATTTATTTGTTGTTTGCGCTCAGATCCTTTAGAAGTCTTTTTCTCTGATCTCTGGTTTAAATGTGTTGTGACTGCTTGTTTCAGGGATGAACACATTGATTGGGTACGATTTGGTACCTGAGCCAAAGATTCTCGAGGCTGCACTGAGAGCCTGTCGGAGGTTAAACGACTTGGCCAGCGCTATCCGAATTTTGGAAGCTGTGAAGGTGAGAGAAAAGGCACATGAGAGAAAATTGCCAGCCAGAGCCTTTGTAGTCAGATAATGGTGATTAATGGGTTTTATTGTTTATTTCCTCAGGACAAAGCCGGACCCCATAAAGATATCTACCCGTACGTGATCCAGGAGCTGCGGCCTACTTTAAATGAGCTTGGCATCTCTACACCTGAAGAGCTCGGCATTGACAAAATTTAGCAGAGCAGGTAGTAAAATCATCTATTCAGTCATGTTTATTCTCTTCCATGTGTGTTATAAGATGGCTGTTTAACAGATGTCTATATATGTTTGTTTGTTTCAGATCAAAAAACATACCCTGGACTCAAAACCCTCTTACTTCAATGTTTGCCTCATAAAACGCGTGCGATATTTAATTTGGCCTTTATTAAGTTCTGTTGCTTGTAAAATATTGTTGAACATAATAAAGGAAACTGTATCTTTGAGTGTCACAAGGATATGGAATATTTTTCAATAGTCTGAGTAATTGTTGGAGCAATATTTCATTACACGTTGCTTTAATAGAGAACAAAGTGTCACCAAATGGTACATGTTGTCCGAGTGTGTGTCTTGTAAGATTCACATTTTACCACCAGGGAGCAGCATTTCCATATGAATGTAAAATCATTCTACTGTACTCAATCTACATCTGTTTTCTTTTTTTTTTTATTTCAGGGAAAAGTTATGTGCGGGTAAATAAACTTGTTCAAA